ACTCTGCCAACCATGTGGGGTGCCTGGGTGATATCCCTGCGTCCTGGCTCTGGCCTGGCACAGTGACCCAGGGGTACAAACTGTCACTGTGAAATATGACTCCAAAGAGCAGTATGACTCCAACAACTGGACGCAGTGTCCATGTGCCTCTGTGGCCTCATGTTTAACAAGCATGAGATTGGGCTTTGGTGAAGACCGAGTTAAGATGAAATGCTCAATTGTCCTTTGGCATGTAGCAAACGTGCAACACACTTTAGAATTTAGCTGTATTATTTGATGTAACTAGCATTAACAAAAAGGGTAACATCATTTCTGGGTCAAAAAAAAAATTAGAGGCTTTTAATTTATTTGCAAACTGTTACTGGAAATCAGGTGTTTGATACTTTCACAATTAAAGGAGAAATGTGCATGATTAAAATATAATCTGTAAACACAAGAGAAGGGGAGGGGATTTGGCTTGGCAGTTAAGGTGAGAATACCTATAACTTTTTTTAAAAAAGAAAGATCTGTTTTTATTGGAAACTCAGATCTAAAGAAAGGAGGAGAGACAGAGAGGAAGATCTTCCGTCAGTTGATTCACACCCCAAGCAGCCGCAATGGCTGGTGTTGCACCAATTTGAAGCCAGGAGTCAGGAGCCTCGTCTGGGTCTCCCAAGTGGAAGAAGAATGTTTTTGTTAGTACATGGGCTCATCTAGTAATTAAATTGGGGAAGGTATTGGCACACATTAAGTCTTAAATACTTACAGGAATATGAGCATTTGTCATCCTAGCCAAGGCCTGGTCAACACCAAACCGGCAACATATGTTCAAAACTACTGAAAGCTCTTGGTTATGTGCCTCTTGGTTCTCAGGGCCCTGCCCCACCCATGCCAATCCAGAATCACAGTCCCCACACGCCCGGCCACCCCACGCTCACTGGAATAAATCGGCCACCATCATCTGCCAGATGTACCCAGCTGAGGGCATTTATTCAGCAAATTCTGGCTTGCAGACACGATCTAATCGTGGTTATTTAAAGAACTAAAAAGCTAGTAGCTTGTTGTTTTTGCAGGAAGTACTCCATTTTTCAAAACAAAAATTCTCGAACTTGAGCGGTAGAGACACAGAGAATAAGCTACCCTCTACTGGGTTTCATACAAAATGCCCACACACAGGCAAGGCTGAGCCAGGCGAGAGCCAAGAATGCAAGCCAGGTCTCTCATGTGAGTGGCAGGGCTCCAGCCTGACCAGCTACCTGCTGTGCTGCACGGTGCATTTGGTAGCAAGCTGGAATGGTGACTTGGCAACCAGGTACCTTGACAGCAAAGGTAGATGTCGTTACTGACATTCCAAATGACTGTCCCCTATTCCAATCACTGGACAAGGATTTCAAACTCACCAGGCCAGGGTCTCTCCACCATGCCAGGGTCTCTCCACACTCATTCTTGAAGTCTCTGCCATGTTAAGTGACTGTGGTACATCTCCCAAACCTGGGAGGACTCACATTGCTTTGAGTCCTATCCAAGCAAAAAAGTCATATTTTTAAGAAGTCAATTTCAGTTCAGACTGGAGAACAACAGATGTCAACTTCAAAATAGTGAGTCTTGAATTTAATCTCATTTTTTCCTTTTAGTCCTCAAGCCTAAAAGCCTAAAATATAAGAGTTCCAGTGAAGAGAATACTCTAATGATACATAATTGTGCATTCTATCATAAACATCACTACTCTAGTTCAGAGACTGGATGAAGCTTCTGGCTCCTGGCTTTGGCCTGGCTCAGACCTAGCTGCCGCGGCCACTGAGGGAATGAATCAATAGATATTCTCTTTATTACTCTGTCTTACAAATAAGTAAAAACATCTATAGGGGAATTAAATTTAAAAACAAGCTTATTTTAAAAAAGCGAATTTAAACCCTACCTTGTGCTACTGAAAATAACAACAAGAAAACATTATGACTGAAAACACCAATTTTAACTTGTCCAGCCCAAGGAGTCTTAGACTTAATTAGTTCTGCGATACACAGTTTAAAGTTTGAGGACTTTGGGACCATTCACCCAATTAAAGAATAAAACATTTGGGCCTGGCGCAGTGGCGCAAGTGGTTAAGGTCCTCGCCTTGCACGCCCGGGATCCCATATGGGCGCCGGTTCTAATCCCGGCAGCCCTGCTTCCCTTCCAGTTCCCCGCCTGTGGCCCGGGAAAGCAGTTGCGGACAGCCCAAAGCTTTGGGACCCTGCACCCGCGTGGGAGACCCGGAAGAGGCTCCTGGCTTCGGATCAGCATAGCACCGGCCCGTTGCGCTCACTTGGGGAGTGAATCATCGGACGGAAGATCTTCCTCTCTGTCTCTCCTCTCTGTATATCCGCCTTTCCAATAAAAATAAATCTTTAAAAAAAAAAAAAAAAAGAATAAAACATTTAATACACAGTCAGTTTCCCAAAAAACACTTGGGGGAAAAAGCAAGACTTTGGCTATCTGCAGAGGAGATTCCTTGGGCAGAAGCAAGCTTCATCTTGCTCAGGATATCTGAACTTGGGGTGAGCTAATGATTCCACTGCTGACTGGAGCGAAGACATCCCTAGAAGTGGGCTAGCCACAGCAAATGGTTTGGAACATCCACCTGGGCCTCATGACAGAGGCAATGAATTCTCAGTAGAAACCCCTGAAATCAACACTCGGATTCCTTTCTCTGATCTCTTGGAAAACTTTGGCAAAGTCACATCAGCACAGCGCTTCGCTTAGGATCCCTACGTCAATGTTTTCAATCCAGCTGCTCCGTAACAGCATGTGAGTTTAAAGAGTTAGTTAGCTATTCTCCAGCCCCAGGCACTGGGCAGTGGGAGGATGGGTGTGGCTTCTCCCCTTACCTCCACCACCCACACAGGAAGAAGAAAAAGGAAATGTGGAAACAATGGTCTTACTTTCCCCTAACTCCTTCCCACCCTAATCAACGATGTAAACATCATCAAAACTAACAGTCCATCCCAACTCCTGACACTGTTACGGAATTACCATTTCTATCAAACACCTTCTCTACTATCTCATAAACAGCATCTAAATCTTATTGTATTAGCTAAATATTTGGCACTTACTGTAAGTGCTAGAAACATCTAGCTATGAAAAAAGTACAGCACAACCCATCTCATTAGGATGTTGACTTTTTTACCCAGTTACATAGTAGGCCAAACCTCTGCCTATGGCGCCTGCATCCTATGTGGGCACCTGTTCTAATCCCAGATACTCCACTTTCAATCCAGCTCCCTCCTTATGGTTTGGGAAAACAGCGTAGGACGGTTCAGGTTCTCGGTCCCCTGCGCCCATACGGGAGACCTGAAAGAGGCATCTGACTTCGGACAGGCCCAGTTTCAGATATTACAACCATTTGGGGAGTGACCCAGTGGATGGAGGATACCTCTGTCTTTCCTGTGTAACTCTTTCAAATAAAAGTAAAACAAATCTTTAAAAAACAAAACAAAACAAAACATTCTACAATATGGAAAGAAATCAGCTCTAGTAATTAGTGGTTTGCCATTCGGTGAATGAGAAGTGAAAATATTTAACAAATGCTGCACATAAACAAATTATTTTTTTTTTTGGCAAAAAGCAAACACAATAATGTTTTTAAGGATTTAAAAATCCAGAAGGCCTTGATAACAAATGAAAAATATTAAGACAAACTGCCAACAACTTGGTGGATCATAAGAAAACAAGAATGCCAACAGTTTCTCATGTGCTATTTTTAAATAGTTGGAAACACTGGCTGACTGCTGGTCTCAGCGGCTCTGATTTCAATTCAGCTCCTGGCTAATGCGCCTGGGGAAGCAGCAGAGGACGGGCCAAGGGGCCACCTGAGCGGCCAGGTGGAGTTCCTGGCTCCTGGCTAACGCACCTGGGGAAGCAGCAGAGGACGGGCCGAGGGGCCACCTGAGCGGCCAGGTGGAGTTCCTGGCTCCTGGCTATCACCGGGCCCACTTACAGATACTTGGGCAACGAACCAATAGGAAGACGCAATTTCTCTCTCACAAACATAAACACACACAGTCTTTCAAATAAAACCTTTCTTAAAAAAAAAAAGTGCTGATGAATACAAAAACAGCTTATTCCCCTGCCTTATAGATAGATAGATAGATAGATAGATAGATAGATAGATAGATAGATTAGTAAGTCTACAGCTTGCTGGCCATCACAAATCCTAACACACACACATCCTAACATTAACTCTACATTCTAGGAAAGGTGGAACTTGAGCTGAAGAAGGGGCCTGCCTAAAGGAAAGAGCCTTCTGCTTGCTGGGCAGTCACCAGGGAAAGGGCAGAGCTTCCGTCTGCGCCGTTGAGTCACCGTCTGCATAGCGGAAATCCTGAGGAGTCTTGAAGCAATTTCAGCTTCCTAAACAAAACTGCCATTGATTCACATCCGATGATTGGCAATTCCTAGACTTCGATTTCAGGCAGCTCGGAGAGCTGAATGCTTAGGGTTCCAGCACCGTGGGAGTCCAGGACCAAACAACTAGATTTATAAAATAGCAAGTGCATTTTTCAGCTTTTCTTTACAAATGTAGGTACGGACTGCAAATATAAAACCCACATCAGTAATCCCAAAGCTGTGATTAAAAAAAAAATTTTTTTTAAAAGAGGAAAAACCACCTATTGGTACTAAAGCCTTTACTGTTATAAACCAAATATATTTACAATTTATACAAATGTTTAACCTTCAACAAAAATACAAAAAAAAATTTTTTTCACAAGAATGCAAAACCAGGAAACAAGTTCATAGGAGACACCACTGCTCGACGAAGGACAGAACATGAGGTGAACCGCAAGGAACGGATATGTTATCTCACACTTGGGCAGGTGTGAGCCGCCGAGCGCCCAGAAACAGCAGCAGCTGCAGCCCAGGCTGGCCAGGTCAGTTCCTTAGTCTTCCCCACTGTGGACAGACGTCTCCTCCTTGTAGACCCAAAGTAGGCTTGTGTCAAAGTGTGGAAACAACTTTCGTGGGTTTTTTTTTAAAAAAAAAAAAACTCCTCAGAGTTACAACTTCTCTATTTCTACAAGTTCAAAACATTTTGGCCCAATTCAACTATCAATGTGAAACCGCATGTTTTCAGTAGATGACCTCATAAACGGTCGCCTTCTTGTCCCCTGAGCCGGTGACGATGTACTTGTCATCCACAGAGATGTCACAGCTAAGCACCGATGAGGACTCTTTGGACTAGAAGACAGGGCAGCGGGCACACGATTAATGCAATGACCACGGGACTGGTCCCTGGCAGGCAACTTCACTTCCAAGTTTCAAAGGCAACAGCGCTATGCAGCTGTGCAACACGCTTACCTGGAATATACTGGCTCCATAGGGGGTCCGCCACGCATTCAGGAGGTTATCTTTCCCAGTACTCACAAACCATTTACCTGCAATTAGCCAAAAAACAGTGTGGATCAAGAAGAGGAAAATTCCTCTTGTACTATTGGCAAAGTGGAATGAATCAAGCCGAGGGTTTTGTGCGCAGAAACTTTGCTGCCTGGGGTTGCTCTGTGACACACTTAGAGGTTCCAACTTTGGGCTGCTTGGCGCATGCTCTGTATTAGGAAGGGCACAGAGAGATGTCAGTCTTAAAGCCACTCGATACAGGCCTCGCAGCCTCACTGCTGCAAACCACAGCCCTTCACACACTCAAATCTGTGAAACTGTCCTTCTCAGTCCACTTACGGTAAATATGGACTAGGAAGTTCAAACGTAGAGCTTGAATAAAATGCAAGTAATGTTTCATGCCATAGAAGATGTGTCTACTCATCCAGTCCAGAACTGAAACTTTATGAATATCTGACTGCTTGGCCATGCACACGCATATTGGCTACAAGAACTTCTTCCCTCATTAAAGCAGCCGAGTCTGGGTGCAGCCAAATAACCCTTTGCCGGTCCTGGGTTCCGCGCCGCAGCCAGTTCACAACTACTTCCATCACTCCTGACTCATTCTTCTATCAATTCCCAGCCACTGCAGAGTGGTAACAGACTGTCTCTCCTCAACACTGAAAACAAGCAGGTGTTCCAACCTTGGATTGGGCAATTTCATCGCTTGCTGTCTTGTCTCAAATTAGCAAAACAGACAGCAGCAGACATGACTATGCTCAGAGGGACACATCCAAACAATAGAATTATTGCATCCAGCTGCTTGCAGGACATTGTTTTCCAGATATTATCACCACCATATTTTTGTTAGAAGAAGTATTTTCCATCTAGGCCGTCCACAGCCTCCGGTTTCCTCTTGGCTCCACTCACCACAGTAAGCAAATTTCAGGGAGAGCACGCAGCTCTCGTGGAGGTGCAGCTGGTATTTGTCGGGCTTGTTCACATGCAGAACTTCCACATTGCTGCTTTCCATGCCCACAGCCAGCCACTCCCCCGTCGGGCAGTACCCAAGGGAGAAGATCTGTGAGAAACACAGGGGTTTACTGGTTATTTTATCCGATACACTCAGGAAGGGAAAAAGTAGCGAGAACGGGGGAAATTATCAGCCAAGTCCAAGGAGTGAGGAAATGTGTTGGGACAAGGGATCCAACCCAGATGGCCCAGGTGTCCCAAACCTCCATGGGACAGCCGGAAGCAAGTAAGCCTTTACATCATGGGTGATGAGATTAAGGAAACTGTGTGTGTGTGTGTGTGTGTGTGTGTGTGTGTGCGTGCGCACGCGTGTGTCCTTATCTTTTAGACATGAACTGAAATAAGATGATGTAAATCCATCTGGGATTTGTTTTAAAATAGTGCAGTGAGGGAAGCGATAACAAAAGACAACGGGCAGGAGGGGCCGCCCTCGAGGACTCAGTGTACTATACGTTATACTTTCATAAGTGTCTCAATATTTTCTGAATTCCCATAGTCATCGAAGGTCAAAAGTAGTGTATATTCGCATTGGCAAAGGGGCATAGCAGGGAAGACTCGATGAGAAACGCAATGGATGGCAATGGGGGAGTGACATTCAGTCGTTCATGCAGCTGTTGTCTGCTTCTTGTCCTATTATTCTAAGTTGAATTATTTTTTACTAACCAAAAAATAAAATAAATAAAACATTTGGAATGGCAAGCAAAACATGCCTAGATTTAAGCGTTTGACAACTAAGGACGTCACGCACTCCACAAAGTCGCCGTTTTTGTATTATTCTGAATCTTCTGAAGGCCAGTCAGCCTCGAGCCCATCCTTTAAGGAATAAGGAAGACAACGGGCACCCCGGAAGACACCGCTGCATCATCTGAAGCTCCTCGAGGCAGGAGAAATAAATTAACTTCAGCAATTGCTGTGAGTTTTCTGCACGCCCAGTGATATACCTGAATACTTTTGAAGCTTTACACATACGAGATTCGAATAATCGTCTCTCACGTTCACTTTGGTGGCTGAGAAAATGTACAATCCACCAAGTGCTGCTGAAGGGAACCTGTATCTTATTCACTGTACCCACACGTATGCAAATCAAATAGCCAGCCACGCCTGAACCCACCAGGCTTTCACAACCGCTCTAAGATTTTCCCAGATTCTCTATTGTTTGTTTTAACAAGAGTCCTGGGTCGGTGCTCTGCAGCTCAGCGTGGTGGGAGGGACAGGACCCCGTGCAGACCCCAGGGAGAAGCACCTGCGAGGTGAAGTCGTGCTGCTGCAGCTGCCTGCCCTCGCGCAGGTCCCAGGACCTGACCGTGTTGTCCAGGCCACCCGTCCAGAGCTTGGTGCCGTCGTTGGAGATGTCGATGCAGCTCGCTCCATCCGTGTGGCCCTGGAATTGCCTGATAAAACAAACCAGATTGAATAATGATTTCCTGCCAGAGCTCAGGGTAAACACTGTCGTGTTGTTGGTTTTGGACTCTGTGTGCGCATGTGATCTTGTCAGTGTGTGTTGATGTACGAGATCAAACTCCCCCCCTCCCACCCCGGGGAGGACAGGAACCAGCACCTGCAGGCTGGCTGTTCTTTGTGTGGTTTGAGCACTACAGAAAGGGAATGGCACTTGGGGTCCCCGGCCCCAAGCGAGGCGTGTTGCTCAGCTTCCTGGGCAAGTTAGTCTGGAGGGTAGCATTGTGCCCAGTGCTGGCACAAAACCAAGGTGAAAGACACATACACAATATCCCAACTGTAATCCTTCAGGGAACACCAAACACTGGCCTTGGCCTGGGAAGGCCTGCATCCACAAAGCAAAGGCACCCACGAGTCTGTCCGCCCTGCCATGCCTCCACGCCAACAAGGGGTGAGCTCACCTATTGATTCAACCTTTCTATGTTTGGGAGAGTCCTCGGTTAGGCAATCTGGCCTCCCAGAGACAAAGGGTCACACGGGCCCCTCGACCTCAGGGGCAGCGGCACAGAGACACATCTTCCACGGCAGAGGCAGATTCAGGACACCTGGGCAAAAACCCTCCTCCAAGTTGCCCGCCTGGCTGTGCTCTTTAAAGGCAAAGCCTGTGCCTCACCGCAAAAGCATGGTTGGCCCTTGGGGATTTGCTGAGCAGACACCGTACAAAGCAGTGACTGCCCTGGCCCCTGTCCAGTAGGCTGTGAGGGAGCAGGTGGGACAGTGGTGAAAAGATGAGAGAGGGAGGGTGCGGGTGGGGTCATCCCCAGAACCAGGCAGGACCCAGCCAAGGACCTGACAGAGCATTCCCACTGCAAGAGAGAACTTGCCATGCTTTGTGCTCTCCGGGCAGCCCCGCAGGAAATGCTGTCCATAGAATTCTAGTTCTAGCAGAACTTGAACTTAAAGAACCAGCCAGGAGAAGGGCAGCACCAGCATCTCCCTGCTTCCTGAGCCAAAGTGGGAACCAAGGGTTTAAAAATCTTGGCGCACAAGCCGATGAGCTTTGGAACCCCATGCCTGCTTCACTGCACTGCCAGCCTGGGGACCCACGCCGCAGCAGCATGCCTCACGTGTCGCACGTGGGCTGGGCAGGACCTGGCTCCTGTGTTTCCCAGTGTCACGATCCCTCCCTTTGCACGGGGCTGCAAACCCAATGTGGCCTTCTTCTTACCTCTGACCCTTCTGACCTCTCAAATTCTAAAGGAAACGCTCCTACCCCTGGCTGGAAACACCTTTTGCTATTGAATGGGAGGATCCAGAGGGTGTGTCCCGCCCTCTGCTTGGCACCTGCACTGCTTGGCACTACTTGTAGCACACTGCAGGAGGCTCAGACACTGCCCAGCACCAGCGGGGTCCCCGGAGAAAACCAAGGCATTCAACAGTTTCTATGTGGCCCTGCTGCTGGCCACATGCGGTCCGTTTAAACAGACTGCGGTTTGTAAAGGGCTGCCCCATTGTAGCCAACAGAACATACTGCCTGGGAGCCAGCGCACAGAAAGGCCTCTAACAAGAGAGCCAAGTACCCAGGCTCCGACCTCAGCTGCTCTGCTACGGAACTGCATCATGAGAGGCCCTAACGAACCTCTCCACGCCTCGGTTTCCTCATCTATCGGACAGGGAGAAGAACACATGATAAAGGAGCAGATGGAGTAATATCTGAGAAATGTGCGGGACTGGCATCACTTTAAAGTGAATTTTTTTTAAAAAGGGTGGGGCACAATGCAGTAGTCTAGTAGCTAAAGTCCTCGCCTTGAAAGCACCAGGATTCCATAAGGGTACCGGTTCTAATCCCAGCAGGCCCAGTTCCCATCCAGCTCCCTGCTTGTGGCCTGGGAAAGCAGTCAAGGACAGCCCAGAGCCTGGGAATCCTGCACCTGTGAAAGAAGATCCAGGCTCCTGGCTTTGGATTGGCACAGCACCGGCCATTGTGCTCACTTGGGGAGTGAAACACTGGATGGAAGATCTTCCTCCTCCTCTCTGGATATCTGACTTTGCAACAAAAATAAGTTAATCTTAAAAAGAAAAAAAAAATCTTTTCACTAGTCTGAGGCTGAAGGAGGCTTTTAGCCCCAGCTCCACATGAGTTTTCCTGTCTGCAAAGAGAGAGATGGCAAGAGACCAACTGCCCCTGACAGCCACCTGACAAGGACAGAGCCCAACTCAACATATAGCTACAAGGGAACTGTGCGTATGACTTCTACCCCAGGCTGCCCCTTCTTTCTCCACAGGGACCCCAGGCTACTTGGGGAGGATCTCAAATAAGACATGTGCCTCGGCGTGCACCACAAACACACATGGTTGCAGAGAAGTCCAAATGTGATGCAAGTGAAGCCCATACGCTTCTACTGGGACAATCCGCTCGCGTGTATGGAATTCCTAGCACGCCCCTGGCATCAGCACCAGTCCCTGCAGCGGCCCAGAAGCACACTGAGGCCGACTCTGGAAAGCCAGAGCTAGCGAGCTCTCCTCCTTCCAGGACAGAGCGACCACTGGGCAGGTCTCTTCGCAGCTAGTAAGAAACACAGCAGCTCCCACCAGCACACTTAGTGCTGGAAGCTCGTGGACTCACCCACGCCTTTTGGCTTGGTTTTCTTATCTTCTATCTTTGAATGACATCATGGAAACATGTGCCATTGTCACCTGCCTGCCCAATCAAGGTCCTCATCCCGGAAGGGATGTGATGTGACACATCAGGTTATTCACATGGGAGCTGAGAGCCTGGGGTGACCTTCCAAGCCCACTGCAGAACGAAACACCCTTTCAAACCCTCCTGGCTCACCTTACGAGCGTCTGGTTGTGCAGGTCCCACACGGCGATGTTGCCGTCGCTGCAGCAGGAGAAGCAGACCTTGGAATCGGGGCTGATGGCCAGTGCGTAGCAGGCGGGGGCCGAGGACGTGAGCTCGGCCTTGATGCGCGGGGTGGGAGCTGCCAGGTCCCAAATGGACAAAGTGCTGGCCTCCCCTCCCACTATGAGGGTGCATCCATCAGGGAGCAATTTACAGGAACGGATGTAATTATCTCTATTCTGTGAAAGAGACGCAATTCAATTGCTATAATGCATCACGCCCGGCAGCCAGAGCATCGTGCTGTCTAACTGCTGTCTTGGGCTTTGACTAAGGAGTGGCATTTGGTGAACCTTGCATCCTGTAGTAAGGCTTGGGGTCTGATTGCAATTATCACCTTCCCAAACGACAGGGACACAATCTCGGAGGATGGCTTGGCCAGGTATGAAAGCTGCGCTGCCTGGAGCTGAGCTCTGCTGCACACACATGGCCGCTCCTCCCTAAGGTGCAGGGCAGGTGAACGCGTACTCTACGAAGGAGACGCTTGGCAAAGCCACTTTGTACATTTTTTTTTAACCCCCAGGTCAGTGTTGTGGCATACAGAGTAAAGACGCTGCCCACAATGCCAGCATCATGGCCCCCAAAAGAGGCACCAAATGGTCCAGGCACCAGGGACGAGTCCTCAGGGCTCCTGTTCTCCTGATGGCTGCCGTCCATTCTGCCTGATGATCCCTTCAGCTTTCCTGAAGTGAATGTTGTAAAACCAAACCAGCCTCTCCCCAGGCCTCCCTTTCAAAGCACAGACCCTGTTCAGAATGGCTTTTATGCCACGCTATCTGATGTTTACCAGGCAATGTTGATCTGAAAGGCTAGAGGGGAATTCTAGTAGCTTGCAGGAACTAGAGTCCTGGCCCTGTGCTGGTGCACCCAAAACAGGAAACAGGAGAGGCACGCCCACACAAGGAGAGCTTCTGTAAGCCACCAGAAAGTGTTTCAAGCAAGAAATCCACCACTTTTTGAGACCTAACTGCTGTAAGAGCAACAAATGCAACCTTTAGTTATGGAAGCAGGGTGGGAAGGGGGAAGCAAATGACTAACACAGGAAACAGAGGGGGCCTCCATTTCCTAACTGAAATAAAACCCCGGCCTGGACAGTTATTTCCTTGTCGAGTCTCCAGGGAGAAATTAGCCTTGTGCACCAGTTCCTGCTCACTCACCAGACAGTCGAGCTGCGACACGGGACTCTTGTTGCCTGGGTGGCTGATGTCCCAGACCTTGACACAGCCCTTGCCGCCGGTGTACACGTGTCGCGTGGGGTTGCTGATGGTCACGGCGCACACCACCTCCCCGTGGTTCAGGGTGTTGATCTGGCGAGCGTGACGGGGGATCCCGGGGCCGATGAGGGCGTCGGGGGGGAAGGGCACGGGCTGCATCTGGCCGTCCGCCGTCACGTGGAAGGAGTAGGCACTTTTGGAGAGCGGACAATGGAAAAGAAGCAGAAGATCCACTTATCACAACGGGATCCTGTAAGTCCTTGCAACTGTTCTACAAGAAACGCGGAGCAAAGCACAGCTTCCTTTTGAAATCAATACACCGGCAAGGATTCACTGATGGATAGATACACTTAACGATGTGTTTCAACACTAACAAAAGAAGTTTGCTAAACACACCAGTTCAGGGCTCGGACATAAAGTCTTTTGCACGAGCAAGAGAAAATGAAGAGATTCTCTCAACGTCCAATAGCTCTGTGGCCATCCCACTCGACAACCTCCCATGCCTCCCTTGGCCATCGCCCTCGGAGTTTGATCTAAGGCATCAGGCTCCCAGCTACCAGGCTGCCTTTCTCAGGCTCCCTTCAGCCAGGTACACCTGTGTTCCAACCCACAGCTGAGGCTCTTGGGCGGGGGGTAAAGTGAGAAAATTCTTCATGTAGAAGAGAGGAAAGGGGGACTCTGTACTTTCTGATCATTTTTGCTACCAGCCAAAAATGGTCCTACAAATCTTCATTACAAAGAAGAGAAAAGAGGGCATGCTGAACTCTAAGTAAGATGACTGGAGATCCTGCAGGCCTTCTGGGCATAAGGTGACTTTGAACACAGAAATCAAGTGCTGAGGGAGCTAGCCCAGCAAGGCAGAAGCAGAGAGGGGCCTTGCTCAGATAATGGGGCCGTGATATTTTGCTCTGGTCTGCAGAGAGTCATTGTCATTTATGGCGGAAATAAATAAATTTCCACGTTACTCCAGCTATCATTTTTTTTCCCGCTAAATACAAATGAGCCTATTCCTAGTTGCACACTTAAGAGTTCCACACTAAAGTTCTGAACATTATTTTTTTTTAAGTTTCAATGAACTAAATTATATTTGCAACTTCAAGAGCTCACACGTTGCAGGCATGAAGGAAAAGTACTGTGTAAGCAGAAGAGATGGAAGAACTAAAATTCTCATTCCATAGCCCAACCAAGATGATCACGCACAGGCCATTCTGAAGACTGGGGCTTCCGCTTTCCTCTAGCACACATCACTAAGAAATCTACAATAAACACAGTATGTACCATTTCCCAGTTCCCATAATCCCCCGGGCGGAGTCCTGGCCCTTTCTGGAACCTGTCACTGACACCCTTACAAACACCATGAGGACTGCCACAGAGCTTAATGTTCATTGCAACAGTCACTTCCGTTGTGTAACACATCTTAGCAAGGACGAAACTGAACACTGATACATGAGGTCTCCACTTCTTGACAGTATCAGGGTTTTGTTGATGTTGTTGTTTCTCTTCTTTGCATCAAACTGTCTTGGTGCTGGCTGATGCAACCCAGCATCTCCCATCAGGGTGGCAGGTGCACAAGCACGCTGGCTGCAGCCTGCATCCCCCAGCTCTTTGGTTCTTCCCGGTTCCTTGATTCTGCCCATCGTAGTTTCGAGCCGTTCCCAGCAAACCGATGCCTCTGCAAACACCTGTTTTCTTCTGGCTGCAGGAATCAGGCTGCCAGGAAAAACCACCTGCTTTCTTGGGATGTAGTCTCCTCTGCAGTGCAAGGAATCCCGTGGGGCTGCCTCTCTTTGAGTTCCTTCGACTTCACTCTAGTGTTCACGTTCTCCTCCAAGCAGGAGCTAGCCCCCTGCTCTGAATGAATTTTGCTTTCATTCAAGTTTTGATTTTTTTTTTTAAAGATTGAGTTTTTCTTATTTGACAGGCAGAGGCCTGTGACAGCATAATCCGAGCAGTGTAAAAGGTGAGCAGACAAGTGGTAGAGTTTCCACTGGGTCACAGTGAGATGTGGCTATTCTACTTCTTTTACTCGACCTTACTCCCCCACCTTTACAATGTGCCCTGCCAAAATTTGGCCTGTGGATGGAACAGCCAAGGTGTGGGCTAAATGAAGCCGCACAGGGAAGGATCCCAAGAGAGCTGTGAAAAGCAGTACATATCCGACCTTTTGTTACTACATCACAGAAGCAGGTCTGCTGTTCCTACAATGGAAGGAGGCACAGGAGAGGAGAGAGACTGGTCCTTGATCACCCAGTGACAGAGCCCGCACAGCAGGCAGGGACAGGTCAACACAGAGCGGAGCTCTTCACCTGGGCTACCCTTGAGAGGAACACCACGGGACCACCAGATGGAGTGACGGAAACTACAAACAGCATCCGACCTGTCCACATGGTCAGGGTGGAGACCTGGGCACACAGGGGAACTGTGTGGCTGGGGCATCTGGCTCCTCTCAGGATTGAGAATTACAGACATGATGACTTAGCCACACAGGCATACTCTGGAAAGTAAGGGAGTAAGGACTGGGGTGGGAAATGGCAGACGCAGGAGAAACAGAAGTTCTATTCTTTTGGAAGAAAACGGCTCCTTTGATATACAAGGAGACTTCCACAAAAGTTCATGGAAGAATGTGTGTACTGAAGAAACTGAATTGATTTCAAAATTGCATCAGAATAAACTTATTTCTTGCTCGCGTTTTGCCAGCAACTTGTTGAAATCCTCTCCTATATGTTACCCATTGGTGAGAGTAATATCTGCTTTAATACAGCCTTCCTTCAAATGTAATTTTTTTTTAGATGCTGCAAACCAAATCCACACTGTCTAAAATGGTTTTTTACTTCCATCAAGATTTTTTTTTCCAGTGTGGCATCGCAGCATCTTTGCACATAGACTTATAAAAGCAGACAAGGGTAAAATATGGAAGCATTTCACATGGCAACATCAATAGATGACTTTCTTTACAACCAAATACAGGCAGACTGGCTGGCCTTGTGGTGTGGCAAGTTAAGCTGATGCTTTAGACACGATGGACACGGGTTCAAGTTCTAGGTGCTCTGTTTTCAACACAGCTCCCTGTCAAGATGCCTGGGAAAGGCAGCGGAAACTGGCCCAAGGACTTAGGTCTCTGACACCCACGTGGGAGAAACAGAAAGAATTCCTGGATTCTAACTCCAGCCTGGTCCAGCCTGGATGTTGTGCCCATTTGGGAGTGAACCACTGAATGCAAGATCTCAGAACAGACTTTCAGATATCTTACTTACTTGAACACATTTTTCCTTTTTTTTTTAAAGGGCATATAGAAAATTTCTTGGGCCCGGCGCGGTGGCGCAAGTGGTTAAAGGTCCTCGCCTAGCACGCCCGGGATCCCATATGGGCGCCGGTTCTAATCCCGGCAGCCCCGCTTCCCTTCCAGCTCCCTGCCTGTGGCCTGGGAAAGCAGTCGAGGACAGCCCAAAGCTTTGGGAACCTGCACCCGCGTGGGAGACCCAGAAGAGGCTCCTGGCTTCGGATCGACATAGTATCGGCCCGTTGCGGCTCACTTGGGGAGTGAATCATCGGACGGAAGATCTTCCTCTCTGTGTCTCCTCTCTGTATATCCGCCTTTCCAATGAAAAAATAATAAAAATAAATCTTTAAAAAAAAAAAAAAAAAAAAGAAAATTTCTTAACATGGATATGAAAAAGACTAGCAGCAGAGAAAACAGGAGATGACTGACTTCATAAACGTGCAAAGTCCCTGTGCAAAGTCTCTCTTTCAAATTCTGAGTTTCGGGACCTTTTTTCCTTTATCCATCACACACTTGCAAATTCATGGTGCCGGGGCGGGAACTGGGCTGCTACGCAATAGCAAGGTACTGAGACCCATGCAGAAAAAGTTTGTTATTTCAAAACTCAAAAACCCCAGCGGAACAAACAGCGGCTCTGGGTGCGTGATCCAAGAACAGCCATTTCGAAAGTAATGAAGAGGAAGAAGTAAGAAGAGGGGAGACCACGTAACTGAGACATCAACGTAACTGACATCAAAAGAAACGGGCTTCTTACACAATATCTCCAGAAATTACCTACACATTCCCAGATCATCAAAGGCTAGAAAAAAAACCAGAAGTTAAACGAAAACCCACAGGGCAATAAGAAGGCACTGAATAGACCTGTTATTTTCAGCAATTAATGAAGCAAAACCAAAAACTCCCAGAAACCACTGTGGTTGTCATTTTTCCATGGGCCAATTTGACTGAGCTAAGGGGTTCCCAGATAGCTGGTAAAACATTGTTGGGTACCCGTAGGAGGGTGTCTCCTACCCCCTCTCCTCAAGGCAACGTTCAATCCCTGGAGTATGACCGACTCCTGTGCTCCTCGGGCCTTCGCACCCGGACGGAGCCGCCTGACCTGCCATCCTGGAGCTCCAGCTTGTAGATGCTAAGCTGGGGGAACTGAGCTGATCCTCCACAGTCCATCTCCTGCACCTGACTAGCCTCTAGGGAACCTTGACTGATTCACTCCTACTAAGTAAAAAGGGGGGGCTGTATCAATTCCCAAACCCACCCATTAAACCAGCTGAAGAACCTGCACAGGACAAAAGAGGAACCGAAACAGTGAGCGGAGGGAGGGGGCACCCGGCTGGGAAGTGTCCTCTCGGCCAGAAGCTGGGGATGGTTTCCAGTCACCGCTGCACAACAAGTTTTCCTAAGAGGCAATTCCACCCCCAATGTGGTTAAGATTCGCTCTTTCCTTTAGGCTCTAAATCCAAAAAGGTACTTTAAAGATTTATTTAAACACTAAACAAGTGGGTAGAAGATTGCGGAATTACATGTCTGGCATGAAAACACAGGGTGAAGGAACCCGGAACTAACCGAGAATCTTCAGCCAAACTATTATTAGTCAGCCTTATTACTGACCTCTAGGTGTTATTATTCAAGGCGAGCAGAGAACAGCCCCCGGGTGTCCTGGGGGGGAAGCGGTGCCAAAGGGCCACAGCCGTGTCCAACTAAACACCCACATTCCTCTACCAGCCCAAAGCTCAAGGGAATACTTTCCTAAAACTAAAAATGAATTCGAGTTAAGCTGACTGAACAATACCAATTAAATCTAGCCTTGAGGGTTTGAAAACAAAGTTCCCATAAATCAACACAGCTTCATTCAAAATGCAGAATTGGAAGCTCCTTCCGAGAAGGCGACGCCTCTCCCTCCTGTGTGCGGCCCAGTGTCTGCTGGGCGTCTGTACTCACAGAGACCAGCCCTGCATGGAGATGCTGCTGGTGAGGGGCCGAGGCACACAGCAATGCGAATACACAGGGAGGCACCTGCACAACTTCAGAGGGGCAGTCACACAGGGGGCTTCCAAAAGACAACAAGCAGCTCCATGGCAAGAGGTGAAGGCTCGCGTCCTACACAGACAGGGCCGAAGTCAGCAGGAAGAGGAGGGTCCTACCCCGCAGCCAGCACGGGACGTCAGTCACTGAGTAACAGGCCGGAGGAGTAGGCTGGGACATGACGACAGCAGGGCTGGACCACATGACTTACATTCAGTGTATGAAGATTCTGAGTAGAAAACTGATCTGACGGGCAAATCTTTGCCCCGCCACTCTCAAAGATTTATTTGTTTGAAATACAGAGAAACAAATGAACACAGAGAGAGAGAGAGAGATTCCATCCACTAGTTTACTCCCCAAATGGTTGAGAAAGAGCAAAGTCATGAATCTCTAACATGCTCACTATGGGTGCGGTGGGCGTTTGGGCCATCTATTGCTGTTTTCCCAAGTGCACCAAACAGGGAACTGGATCAAAAATGGAGCAGCCTGGACAAGATCCAGTGCCCATGTGGGATGCCGGCATCACAGGTTTCAACTTAACCCGCACTACCACAACACCAGCCCAAATGAACATAAGCCAACAGTGACGTCACCTGCACCGGGAAGAAGAGAGAAAACCTCAATGAAGTACTTACTAGCATGTGGCCCCACTACGTGCCAGCAACCACGCTCGCAGCCCCCCTTGGATGCTGGTGCATTTGCTCATCAGTTTTCAGGGTGCATGTGCCCCCTCCCCACCGCCCGCAACAGGTCTCACTACAGCTTTGGTTCCTTCCTTACAAGTCTGCTTGCCCTGCTGCCACGGTGCTTAATCCCAGATTCAACACCATCGGCGAGCATGATCCCGGGGGGAGCCCAGCTTCTGCACAAACTGCCACACTGCCTGACCCCTCACCCAGGGTTTGTCCCCGTTTCTCTGACATGCCTCGGAGCAGCCCTACTCACACACGAGACACAGTCTAACGGGATATGAGCAGCATCTGCAAAGGCAAACCTAAGACTGCTGTTTCACCATGCACTGATTTTTGATAGATGGGAAAATGCCAGCAGTGGTTTGCAGCACACGGACTCAGTCAACATCTCGTGGAGGAGAACAGCAAGTCCTCTCATCCAAACGAATGGATCGCAGTGACAGAGTGGGGAAGTTCATTTACTCCTCTGCATGGGCCTAATTCTGTCTTCCTCATATAATACAGATCATCTCAACATGAGACGTGAAATCTAAAACTTTTATTTGATCCGTTTGAGAGAGCAGTGCCCACTCAGATCCAAAGACCAATGGCCGTTTGACCGAGAATGGTGCCCTTATATAGGCATCCCATAATGATAACACAAACGGTGACAGAGCAATAGAGAAAGAATGAATGAACAGCATCGGAGCTGGCCATGCCCGGCTTGCCAGCCTTCCATACCAGCAGTGTGGTTCACTGCTTTGCCCCCCACCCCCGTTTCTTTTGAGGTGGAGTCCTGACCGTCAGACAGAGCCCTCCAGCTCTGACTCCTGAACCTCACTCGGGGTCAGTCAGATGTAGCTGTATTTGTCTGCTATTCCCCCAAAGATGTCTCAGTTACCTCTCCTTCCTGTGACTGTCTTGTTTGCTCCTCATGGCCACACCTGTCAGGGGGTGCACCACAGCTACAAGGAATCAGCAATAACCAACGCCTGCATATGCCCCAAGGACATTGCCAAGAAGACACAAAGAGTGCCCGAGTGGTACCTCACAAAGGCTCAACTGGAAGAGATTCAGCAAATAAGGAAACATTCAGTAACACTGTCCCCCCCGACCACAGTCCTGCTCATCACAAGACTAGATGCCACCTGCCATTCTCAACATCTCTACAACTGATGCCCTGATGTGACACCCAAGCAGAACACACACCTGGGAAGCACCACATGCAGGCATGGGGGTCTGACAAGGAGAAGCTGAGGATCCACAACGCGCAGCATAGGGACCTCAATTTAGCAAGTCCAGAATATTCGAGAAACGCCTTCTGCCATTTTCTATCTTAGGAAAAGACAAAACGGACCCTCTATTTCCATGTTGCTTTATAAAACATGCTTGAGACTTTCAGGAATCCTCTGAAATCAAGCTTCTAACTCCATACAGTACAGAAAAGCAAATGACCTAAGAATTACCAAGTGTCTTTATTTTTTTAATTTAAATTCTGAATGCAGACGTTCCCCACAAAGCCTCCTGGCCTCAGATCTTCTGAAACATCTCAGGGCAAAACATCCTCAAGACAACACCGGCGTCTCAACGTGGGAAGCTGGCTGCCAGCAGAACCCACTCTTCCAACTAGTTTCCACCAAGGCAAGAAAAATGGGGCACACCGAGCCCCAGTTCCAGGATGACACAATCTCTGTCGTCTAAAATTGACTGAGAACTTACTGCCCAGATCATGGCTCTGTTGAAGCCCTCTGGCGGCCAGCCGTCCTCCCACCTGGATCCACCCAGACAGGCAAAGCCGCTCTCCAAAGCAGGGTCCGGCGGAGAGGGCTCCCCATTGCCAATCCTCTCCTCTCACCTGCATCTCCTGGCCACCAGTTTCCCTCCTCCTGAAACACCTGACCGGAGGAGATGGTCCACAGGGAGCAGCAGGCAGAGGCAAGGCACCTCCGCACTTCCTATTACACAAAGCACTAACCCTCTTCGGGAAAAGCCACCAGCACCTCCTTGGAAACACTCCAGCCCATGCTACCTTCGGGAGTCTGGTCTACTGAGCCCCGTGGCTGAGCCACCTTGAGCCACCCTTGAGACCAGAGACAAGAGAGACTCAGAAGTACTTACGGTTTCCCCCCGGGGATCCCCGCCAGGTTGGGAGGGATGCTGGGAACTCTCATGTGAGGAGGTGGATCAAAGCCAACCTGGAACAGAAGCACAGCACGCCTGACTCAGTCGCTGCAGGCTCAGCGCTTCGGCAACATCAATCAAGACTTTTCGTTACAAATTCATCAACTCCCAAAGCAAGGTAAATTAAAATGGTAATCTGTGTGAGCATAAAAACCAAACAAAAGTCACATAAGCAGCTCTGAACACTCATACTAGTTTTGGGAGAGACGGAGAACGGGTATGATGTGTGATGTGTGCTCTGCGAATAAGCTCTCCCTGTCACACACTTCCTACAGGCTGTGGCTATTCTGCCCTGCTCAGGCAAGCTAGGGGACATGGAACAAGCTTGTGGGTGCAGTGGGTTAAGCCACCAGCTGTGACACCAGAATCCCGCGTGAGCAGCAGTTTTGACTCCTGGCTGCTCTGCTTCAGATCCAGCTTCCTGCTAAGGAGCTCGGGCAGGCAGCAGAGGACGGCCCAAGTGCTTGGCTCTCTGCTGCCCACACGGGAGACCCAGATGGAGTTCTCACCTTCTGCCTTTGGCCTGGCCCACACCCAGATGTTTCAGCAATTCGGGTGCAGAGAGAGCATCAGGTCAAAGACCTTTTCTTCTCTCCCTTTCGCTCGCTATCTTTCCAATCAATCGATACGATCCAAACCAATAAATTGTGCAAGTAGGATTTCTCCACATTGGCACCATGCACACATTTGGGTATGGCCAGTTTTTGGTTTTTCTTTGTTTTTTCCCTTTCCTAGGCTGTGCTGACACAGTGAACACTGCAGAGGCCTCAACCTAAAGGTGCTGGTACTAACGCCCCAGTTCTGATCATCAGAAACACCACAGTCATTGGAGAACAACCAGTTCCACCGACTCTCAGCTCAACTGTGAGACAGTGGTTCACAGGAGCACAAGGGAGATTGTACAAGGAACCAGAAGAGCCAGCTGTTGACAGAAATGAAAAGTCCAGTTATGTGGTTTGGTTCACCCTCTGAGTTCTTAAAATATTAACACTGAACCCATGACAATGTAGAAGCATTGCATGATGATCAATATCCAGACTTGTTTTAAAATTTTATAAGCATTTTGAAAGGCCTCCACGTATCTCCAGGGGCCAACATGCTTGGCTGCGTGCCTCTGACCTAATGCAGTGCTTACAGAATCACACACAGCTTCCTATTTCCCAGATTCCCATTTTGCACACTTTCCTGACTGCATCCAACTTCTCAGGCCCATCTGACTTGGAATTCTCCTCCAACTTTAATAGGATCCCACAATGGTGGGGGGTAATGTTGTCCGAAGACGCAAAAGGACAGAAAATCCACAACACATTTCAGATGGCCAAGGGACGTTGTTTCCCGGCTGTGGGTGATAAGAATCCCTTTTGCTGACGCAATCAGTGATTGTGCAATTTTACCCTTCAAATGTGGTTTGGGATCTTCTCGGTCAAAAACTGGGCCAGGTGCATGATGGCAGAAGGAAGACAAAGCAGGAAGAGAGGGAGGGCCCACCTCCCGGGTCCCTGTGGTTGGCAGTCTGTTTGTCTTCCTGTTTGTTGCCCAGAGAACACTGCCCGCTGCAGAGTTTAAAGAACAGGCATGGAATGAGAAAGCTATGGTTTCTTAAATACTTCTTCTCCTTGAAGAACAGGGGAAAAGGCCTCAAGAAAGCAAATGCAAAGACTTGTGTGAGGGACCCGAGTGGTTCCCCATGTAAAAATCAACAGCTACACATTGCTGTTTCTCATCCATAGAAACAGGAAAGCAAAAAGCATTGGGCTCAAAGGGACAGTACGGGCATGCCGCCTCAACATGGCATGGCATTGCTCCTGTGATGCGTGGGGCCATGGCACCTGCACACGGAGCAGGGGCAAGCACGTGTGCAGCCTGGAGCTGGACGCGCGAGGGGAAGCATGTGGCTTGTCCAACCCAACCCTGATGCCCCCCGGAGCTTACCATGGGGGACCGCCCGTACGCCACCACGGCGGCCGCAGCAGCAGCAGCACTCATTTGTGGAGACATATTGTGCAAACTGGCGTAGGCTGCCCCAGGGCTGGTCAGCTCGCCATTCATGCCCGCGTGGGGCACCATTCCAAAGGGAGCAGGATATGGGCCGGGCACTGCCAGCGGTGTCCTCAAACCGGCTGCTAGAAGGAAGCAAAAGCCAGGGTGTGACTCTAGGGACTGATGGAGGTCCACCCTGTCCTGTCATCCCAAGGTCATTTGTCAGCGGAAGTCATCATGCGAAAGGAGCAAGAAGAGTGGCCTCCAGGAAAGGCGGGGGGAATCACCTCCAATTTATAGACTGGATTCATTTTATCCCCTAGGGCTGAATTCACCTGGAGCAGAGGCACACAGCCCACACATGTTCTCATTGGTGTACCTGGCCCCTGCTGTGGAAGCAGGGAAATTAAGCAGCATTATCGAACCCAATTTACAGAAGGCAAACCGAGGCATAGACGCTAATTGTTTACCTGACTTAATCTCAAAAGAAGATTTTCTTGATAAAATCCAAGATTTCTCCTTCAGTCCGAACTTTCCATTCCCTGGTACCAATTCCAAATGAAAACCAAAGCCTGCGTTTATGTAAACCAAAGCAGGGTTTAAGGAGCCATGTTCCAGGGCCTGTCTTCCATTCAGCCAGGCTGTTCCTTTCTTCCTTTCCCAGGGAGGAAGATCAAGTGCAAAATGACAGGTTCACTCATTCATGGGTCAGAAGCCCCAGGGAAGCTCTCCCGGCTCCTACGCCAGGGCAGACCCAGGGGTCTGTGTAGGAGGGACTAATCGTAACCAGCCAAGAGAGCAGGAATCCCGCGGTCTGGCCACACTGGCTGTTGGAGCCAATATTAGCAAAATCTGCCACTTTAGTGACAGCTTGGTAAGGAGTTTCCATGCACAATAATGATCCAGAAATGTGACGGATGTCTCAGATTTGGAATCCTTGGAATAAAAGAGAACCTGAACATCAACTGCCATAGACTGACCAGGGTGCCACTCATCAAGGCCATGGACCAAGTTGGCCTCTGTGGTGACAGGCTGGAAAGAAGGCCTTATGTGCCTTTCATATCTCCCCCAAGAAACTGCCCGAGGAGCGTTATCACAGAAAAACAATAAACCAGGAAGGGGGAGAAACTAAGGCGGACACAAAGTATAGGCTAAGAAGAGGCGCTGCTCTACCTGCTTGGTTGACGAGGGGTTCCATGGCTGGAGGCTTGCCGAGGCCTGGACGGAGGCCTGGAGTGGCACTGGTGCCCGGCGTTGGCATGTCGCTCCGTGGCGTCGGCGTGCTGGATTTCAGAACAGGCGTGCTGGCTTTTTCATGCTGGTATCATTAAACAAATTAAATGAGTATTATTTTTAATCCAAGCCATATTACACAATTTATCACAACAGCAGCTGGGACACTGGGCACCTTCTAGCTACTCCCTCGGCCAATTTTCATAAATCCGCACAATGTTGACAGCATTAACTTGGGAGCGAGCAATGTTGACCTTTCCGCTTCCTGCCAGAATTAAAACTCAAGCAGGAGACACAAAACATGACCATACTCCTTCCCCAGCAGATTTTTCTCTTAGAAAGTATTTTTCATCAGGCGTGTGGACTTTGGGTCTCTGCCAAGTCAGGAGGATGGCCACCCAGAGAATGGCTCCCGGCACTTGGAAATATACGTCCTGGTTGCCAGGAACATTTCTGGGGAGGGGCTCTTTTCGGGCCTCACCTTGAGGGAGAACTGGGATTGGGACAGCAGGGCCATTGGATGAGAAGCAAAGCAGCATCTCTGGGGTCTAAAAAGGCGACCCCTCTGGGGCTGACACCCCCCTATTTCACTTGTGACAAGTCAGGGGGCTGAACACCAGCCAGAGGCCCGCCAGAGGGTCACAGGAACTTTCTGGCTGACTCGCAGGCTTTCTCAACCGTCAACGCGCAGTCCATGACAGGTTATTTTATGTTCCAAAAAATCAACCGTTAAAGCAGTTCAGTGGGTGGCAGCCAGAGATGACAGCTCCCTGGCTGTGGAGCTTGGCAAGGTGTACAGGCGCTCCTCCCCATTGGTGAGCACGAACAATGGTGCAGTGTAAGGAGTCAAGTGAGGCTGCTGGTCTGGGAGCTTTACCAGGAGAGTTCAGAGGCAATGCCCCCTTCAGAGCTTGCTCTTGCAACGGAAGCATCATGTAGGGACTCGTGGCAGTGCAATACACGTGTGCAGTATGCAAAACGAGTGTCACTGGCTGATCTGTGGCCTCATACGGGTAGCATTTCTTTGTGTTGGGAATATTCAAAGTCCTCCATTAGCTAATTTGAATTATTCACGGAAGTATGGTCGGCCTTTCCTACTGTGCTGCAGAATACCAGAAGTTACCCCTCCTACCCACCTGTACCACTGCACCCAGGCACCACTCCCTCCTCCGCCCCCTGCCCAGGCTCTGATAACCACTCTTCTATCCTCCGCTCCATGGAGATCGACTCATCCTTCCATGCAAGTGACAGCACGCAGCAGCCATCTTGAAGCTGGGTGCGCACCCAGGCTCTGATGCCCTCCCTGCCCGGTGCAGGTCTGCCTGCTCAGCCTTCCACCCTTCTGCTGAGCACCCTCCCATCAGCACGGGCTTCATAGGATGATCAGCTTTACAGGGCTACACCTAGGCCACTGGAGCTCTCTGCCAACCAGGTGAGCAGGGACTCTGTGCCAAGGACATACTGAACACCCAAGCCTGGCAGTCCTTGCCATGGGGGCCGAAAGGAAATGACAGAGAAGGGGAAAAGCTCACACCAGCCGGAGATGAGAACCATCACGGCACAGCTTTCACCTCTGCGGAAATACAGACAAAACTTCAAGCAGCAAGCCCCCACATTGCAAACTACGTCACAATCATCCGGTCCCGGAAAGAGAGACCTGGGGGACAGCAGGCAGGTCTCATCACCTACCAAGCTCATTTCTTTGGATTTCAAAGAAGTGGAGCTTCCGGAGGAGGCCGTGGACGCCGGGCTGCTCGAGGCATCTTTCTTCAGGAGGCGGTTTTTGTCGATTCCATTTTCCCGGGGTGAGTGGGCGGGACTTGCTCGCGGAGAAGAAGGGTCCTGAAGATGCACAATCAGAAATTGACACCAGTTACCTTGACAGACGTGCCGCTGGCACACATGTGCTTCCACACTGACTCCGCCACGTGCAGGAGAACGCTCAAGGCCTCTGGGTTGGGGTGTGCAGTATGCCCATAGCTGTGGTTCCAATGAGCATGAAGGTGTCAGCAAACACCCTATTAACACACCAGGCAGAGAAGGACCCCACGAGCCATCACGTCCCTCTGTAGGCCCCCCGCACTTTGCCAAATGCACAAACTCAGACTCTAAATGGACACATCCATCATAATGAACCTCTATGTCAAGCAGTCACTATTGCGCTATTGTCATTCTCACAAGGCAACTGAAGCCATTTCAAAGGAATGGTTACCTCATTAGACACATCCACAACTAAGTTGTCATCACTTTTATCGCCATCACTGTCCTGGGGAAAAAAAAAACGGAATTTGAAAGCCATTTATTACTAAAGACGAAGAACGGGTGTGGGACCTACTCAAATTTCTGGCTGTAGTTTTCGGTGGCAGAGAAGCTGAACCAATGGCTAGGGATACGCGTGCAGGTTGTTTTTGCAACTGCCACCCCCAGACAGGAGTTCAGCTACAGCAGAAAGGCAGCTAGCCAACCGCAACTTGTTTGTTCTCAGGGGATGGCACGCTGCAAACACGGGGCACGCTGTGAGAGCTCAGTAAATGTCTGGCAACGGTCAAACCCTACTGGTCATCTGGGCCCATCTTGCAACACGAAACCCACACCCATTTCTATCAGACCCATCTTCCCATTTGATTTCAACGTTAAGTACAGAATTTCCTGACATGGGCTTTTACATGTGTCACACCTTTGAAAAGAATCAGCTAAGCTGGTACTTGGATGAGTCCATGAATGTGAAAACAAATTTATGCAAACCCTTTTCCCCTGGGGATATCAAGTTACAGTTTAAATAAAGAAAGAAAAGAAATACAATTCAAAACAATAAAGCGAGCTGCTGGATAGAATAAGGAATCGAGATCCTACGTCACAGGAAGTATAAACTTCTTTGACAATCAGCTCAGGATAATCTTGGAGAGACAGAAGGAAGGTAGAGGGTGAACGCCCTTACTGTCTGTTCATAGAGGCACAGCATTTGGTAATCAGAGGAAACCACAAGCTATGCTGAAAAAAAAAATCAGAAAAGCTATTCAGTTTAATGATGTAATGGCTCGTCCAGCATGATGGAGCAGGTGGAAGAAGTTCCTTCCCCCAGCTACGAGGTCTTAGGTCTCTGAGAGCATAGTGAAACAAAGTGCTCATGGGAAAACAAAGTGCTCATGGGAAAACGGGACACTGCAAGGAGGTCTCTCGGACAAGATCTACATTGTTTCCTGATGTCACTATCAATGAAGAATATACAATTGGAGGTTGGTGTCACGGTGTAACTGTTGCAGCTTCTTAGGACATCTGCATTCCGTGTGGCAGTACCCTGCTTCATCTCTTGGCTGCTTTGAGCCTCCAATTCAGCTTCTTCTAATGTACCTGGAGGACGCAGATGCTGGTCCAAGTACCAAAATAAATCCTTTTAAAAATGGATCTACAGAGTCTGGTGCAGCAGCCTAGTGGCTAAAGTCCTCATCTTGCACACCCCGGGATCATATCCCAGCGACCCTGTTTCCCATCCAGCTCCCTGCTGGTGACCTGGGAAAGCAGTAGAGGATGGCCCAAAGCCTTGGGACCGTGCACCTGCCTGGGAGACCCGGAAGAAGCTTTGGCTTCCTGGCTTTGGATTGGCTCAGCTTCAGCCATTGCAGCCACTTGGGGAGTGAATCATCGAATGGAAGATCTTCCTCTCTGTCTCTCCTCCTCTCTGTATATCTGACTTTCTAATACAAATAAGTAAGTCTGAAAAAACAAAAACTAATTTACAGGGCCTACCATGGTAGCCCAGTGGGCATGTAGGCATGAGCCTATGGGCATGTGGGGGGCGACCCAGAACACGAGACTCTTTCTCCCCCATGCTCCTCTCCCTCACTGTCACTCACTGTTTCTCAAATAATCGATTAAAAAAATTTTCTTAAAAATCCTATCTTGGCTTCTGGGACACAGCTGCCTTCAGGTTCTGCCATTGACTGTGATCTGTCATTCATGAGCTCTATGCTATAGTTCATCAAGATGATGGTGTCGGACTCATCAGGCTATTTTAAGAGTTAAACGAAACAACTCATGCAGAGGCATGTGGTACCTGGCACTGGGTCAAGCTACTGATAGAATGGTTTTACCTACTGTTAGCCACGGACCGAGGCCTAACGGGCCACATGTCTCTACCACTGCCTGGTACACACTCCACTGGTAACAGAATCCTAAGGTGAGCCTGAACATACCACCAGATTTAGGGACACCCAAAATGCTGGCTGATGTCAGCAGTACGGGCTACATCTGCTGGGCCCATGCTTGCACGACGTTGGGCAGGAATCTCCTGGGCACAGGGTGCTGTAGAACTGTGCTGCCCATCAAGGCGACCCCTGAGGCATAAAGCGTAAAATGCAATAGAAGGCCCAGGAGAAGCATTAATCGAAGAATTAGAGCCTACCCTCTGGAATGGACTGGGGCGATGTGGAATTATCACGGAGATCTTAGTGAACATTTGGACGAGGTGAGCTGTAGGCAAACAGCGTCTGTTTTAGGCCCTTCGTTTACTTACATAGTGGCTGGAGTCTTTATCATCCACCTTCCTTTTTTTGATGTCATTGGCAAATTCAGGCCCATTTCTGCGTTTATCTGAGCCTCTTAGACTGTCTGGGACCAAGAGGGAATTACTCTGTAAGACAAAAAATGTAATCAGATTTCTTCCCCGGGCCTCTTTGTTCACAGGAAAACCCAATCTGGATAGGACTACTGCTTTAGTCTTTTATTCCACTGGGTTCATCTCAGCTAAAGGCTTCGATGGCAAATGTGTATAGTTCTTTACACACTTAAAAGAGAGACCCGATTTTGCTATCAAACCACCCAAAACGTGATGGGGGCTTTGATTTCTACTTGCTTCTGCCTTATTTACCACTGGAAGAATAGGAACCTACTGTGTGTGCCTGGCTGTGCTTTTACTCTGTCTCACCAGCAACTTCCTGATCAACAACGCAGACTGCAGAATCAATGGGTACTCAAAAACGCACACAGGAGGGGGCTGGCGTGGCAGCACAGCGCATGAATAACTCCAACTGCAAGCGCTGGCATCCCATGTGGATGCCAGCTCATGTCTCTGCTGTCCACATCCAATCCAGCTCCCTGCAAATGACCTGGGCAAGCAGCAGCAGCAGCAGGGGAAGGCCCTAGGTCTTGGGCCCCTGCATTCACTTGGAAGGCCAGGAAGACACTCCTGGCTCCCAGCTTTGGATCAGCTCAGGTCTGGCCATTACAGCGATTCAGGAAGGAAACCAACAGATGGAAAACCTCTCTGTGTATTTTTGTGTGTCTCTGCTCTCTGTAAAAACCTGCCTTTTAAAACAACAATAAATAAACCCTTAAACACACACAGACACACACACACGCATACACACACACACACAAGCACACAGAGACACACACACAGTGGAAAAAGGTAGGATGATCAGCATGATTTCCTAAAGGGCAAATCACATTTTTTTTTCCACGGCAACAATAAAGGAGGCTCTTTTGAATTCTTTTAATTTATTGTTGAAAATAAGATTGGGTGTTCCTTGCCAAAAGCACTGAAATTTAAGACCCAAAGTGGGAATTGCAGCCAGAGAACCTCCATCTGCCAGGCCAGCTCCCACACACGAAAGCCAAGAACAAGCACTAATCTTTTCCTCTAACTACACAGGATACTTTCATTCGCATATGCCTAGTACAAACTGCTGACCCAAAGAAAACAGGCATTTTAGATATTTGGGGGTCACATGACACGATCTGACATCCCTTCAATTCCCATCTCCCCTTGGGCGAAGGCATCAGAACCTGTTACAATGAGTTCTTTTAAGGGCAGGATTAGCATATGCAAGGGGGCAATTTGTTCAGTGATGTGTTACAGCCTTGAACAATGCTGAATGAGCTGTGTGAAATCCTCCTTTCACTAAACTCAGATAACCCCGATTTCTAAGAGACTTTGAGAACCAAGAAGGGAGGGGGGGGGGTGGTAAAACCCACAGACAATTAAGCTAACTTTCTCTGCCACAATTCACAGAAGCAGTTGGGGCAAAGCTCTAAGTTAGATCACTTAGGACGCCATCGGAATGCACCAGGAGCCAGTGTTTCACCACACACTTTTTCAAGGCCTTGAGTTTTCATTCCCAACCAACCAAGTGGCTGGCTCTCACACGGGGAGTATTCCCAGCTCAACCCCCAGCATGAGGAAATCAAAACTGGGGACCCGGGGATAAGCAGGGCCTCTTGGCCCACGGCAGGAGCTGGGCTCTAAAGTGAACTCTTTTCTTCATGACTGTTCAAGCTACACAAATGCCAGGAGGCTTCGATAAAAGGTGGAGGGACCCAGGCAATTCGATACAGAGAAGCTCACAGTAATCATAACCACACTGTCAGGAGCTGAAAGAGGGAGCTGGCTGGATCCCAGAACTAATGACTTTGACAAGTGCCTGCTAAAAACTGATTTTTCCAAGCCAGACCCTGTGCCCTAACAGAGGGTGGGAGGGAAGAACACAAGCACACCTGCCTGCAAAGTGCTACCAGCCAGCGCTCTCACAGCTGAGCTGGGCCTGGGAACCGCAATTTGCTCACACAGGTAAGCAGTATTTAAATACACCTGTCTCTGCTCTGTATTATTTTATCCCTAGGTTGCCTCCTCTATTCTGCACAGGAGCACCAAGGCAGCAGCTGAATCTTTGACTTTGCCATCTTCTGCAAGAGTCCAGCAGCCAGCGCTCGACCAGGGGCTGAGCCTGCTGGTGATTTGAGAGTTAGTGTTGCTGTGCCCAGATTTTGAGATCCCCAGAAAATCATCAGGAGTCTGAAGTCATTGCAAACGCATAAAGGCGGTTTATTCAGACTAGGCTCCCAGCCTCCGCCCCAACCAAAGCTAAGGCAGAAGGGACAAAGATGAAGAAGGGCCAGAAAAAAAAAAAAAAAAAAAAAAAGGCTGAGGTTCAACAGTACAGGGTTTTTATACATTTTAGGCCAATTCCACACATTTATAAAGTCATGATTGGTCAGTTTACCAAAAGTTAACATAACTTTTAAAAAGAGCAAGTTGGCAGGCTTCTATTGGTGGGTTTGAAACAAGCAACTTTCAAAAAGTACAAACTGAGGAGTGCTCTGCCTACGTGACCTGCCAGGTGTCCTGCTGGGTGTCACATAGGCTGGAGTTCACACAGACCCCAGCCAAGCAAGTAAGGCAGAAATCAGGAAAGCCAAAGACACTTGGGATCTTCAGTGTGCGGAACCCACCTTCACCATCCTCTTGCTGCGACCAGCACTGGGTTTCCAAACCACTCAGCTGTTCCAAGTCAGCTTTCTAATGCCCCCTGCCATTTTTTTTTCTCTTTATAAATGATGCCAAGGGAGTATTGTGAATGTTAAAGTCAACTGCACTCCTGCTAGCAACAGATGCATTTCTGTAGCCAGACATTTCTGCTTTGCAGCCTCTGCTCCTCTGCTAGAAGTTACTGCTGTAATTTCTACTTGAGCACACTCAATGAGGCCTGCAATCTGAATAGCTTTTTGCAAAGCTTGGAAACTTCCTCTGAATTTAGATCGGGCTGGGAACTGGCACCCCCTGCTTATCTGAAAATCGGCCCCATCCACCTGGCAGACTTCAGCAAGTTATGAAACATGATGTCTCTTGCTTTTGATGCCATGAAGAATGTGTGCTGCATTCCTCTCACGGTGGAAGAGCTACGGTGGGACCTAGGGATGCTGGCTTGCTGCTGCTACTGGACACCTGGCCACAGAAAAGTTCCCACCAGAAACAGACCACTTCCTTTGACCCCTGTTCCCAGGAACCCAGCTTCTGCACCTGTCCCATCGAACCAGACAGGGCGTTCACTGTTGCCTTCCATCTCAAGTCGCAGCTCCACCAAATGGTGAGCCTCACTGCAGACCATAGCCTTGGACCAAACAAAACAAAACAAAACCCTACCTTGGGGACCCTTAACTTTGTGGTTCCCTCATTTGTCCTCCAGAAACCCAACAGTGATGTCACTGGAGGCACTGTGTCTCAAGACCTAATGATGGGCATTTTCCTTACGTTCTGCTGATTCCTCCTTCCTGTGGCCCAAGGTTGAAAACAAGGCTGCTTGAAAGTTAGGGGAAAACTGAACTGAAAGTTTATTTTGTCACATAAGATTCTGAAATCCATGCACAGCAAGGGTCATCCCAAAGTGTATGGAAAATGCGCTATCGGGGAAAAAAAAAACTGAAGGATTTCAAATAGTTTTCATAGCAAAATAAACTTCACTCCATTTTCCCCACACAAACTCAGAACACCTTCACGCAGCTGTGTGGATGGGTGGCCGTGAGGGGTCACTACCCCCAGGTACTGACAGGAATATCCTTTCGCTTTCTCAACATGTAGGATTTTGCGTTATAAGTACAAACGTAAGAAGACAGCATTTGCAAAAGAATGCGAGGCAGGTGGCTTGGCTTGAAGTCATTCAGAAAGTCAGCCAGGCTCTCGAACCACAAGGAAATCAGATTCGCAAGGTGAGAAGATACAGCACCCCTGACCATCTTCATTGCGCATCCCTCTCCCATCCCCCTGGGCGACCCGGAGGGCTCTACCTGGGGACCAGGTGGAATTGTCTAATGTCATGGAGCCCTGTCTACCACGTGCACAGCTCTAGTGTCCAAAAAAATGCCTACCTTCCAGAAGAGTGAGTTTCAAACACTTTCTGTGTGCCTTTAGACTGCTACACCTAACGAGCCTCATTCTAAGGAGACACAATAGTGCCGGATGCATCTTCTCTCTTGCTCCTTTCTAACCAAGTCACACAGAGTTCCTTGATTAACGCAGCTGTATGCCTACTCCCCCAAGAGTGCGAATGTATCATTTTCTTAAATAAAACAGATATCTGGGGATGGGCATTTGGCCTGTGAGGATGCCTGCCCCACACTTAAGGCACCTGGCTCTGACATCCGGTTTGGCACCTGATCCAAGATACCCTGCTAATTCAGGATCCTGGGAAGCAGTGATGCTGGCTGCAGTAATCAGGACCTTGCCTCCCACTTGGGAGATGTGGATTCAGTTCCTGTCTCCCAGCCCTGGCCTGGTGCATGCTCAAAGTTCATTTGGGGTGTTCATTCAGATGAGAATTCTTTCTTGGCCTCAAAGAACTAAACGACAAAACAAAGAATGAACATTTTATAACCTCTCTTTAAAAACACTAGCCAATGACTTTCGTGGTTTTTTTTTTTTTATTGCTTCAACTTGAAGGCACAGAGACAAAAAAGCTTTCCTAACCTCTAGCTAATTCCCCCAGATGCCACAACAGCTAAACTCAAGCCAGGGGCCTGACTCTCCATCCTTGTCTCCCACCCACACAGATGCCAAGGATGCACCTGGGCCATCATCCAGGTCCCAGGGGCGTCAGCAAGGAGCTGGATTAGAAACGGAGCTACTAGGACACAACCGAGCACGCCCATGTGGGATTCACACACGCCCAGGAGTGGCTTAACCAGCTGCAGTGCAATATCTACCAAGACCATTATTGAAACGAATGCAGGATTTTTTTTGCCAAATACGTATTTAACCACGGACCAGTTTCTGACCGACATGGGAACCAGTGTTACCACCCTGACTTGTAGCTTCTGATTCTAGCCCAGAAGGTCGAGGTGTTATTTCACCTTGCAGCT